AATCGCATAGCGGAAATGAGAGAAAATCAAAAATAAAACGCAACAGTGTTTATATATTCGAACTGACCAGTGGTCAGATGCACTGGAGCTTTGAATGGGCAAAATGCAATTAATGACAGAACAAGTGAAGAACAGTAGAGAGGTCATCGAGGGTCAACAAAATGACCAAACAGTAAAAGAAAGAAAACGAAAACCTTAAAATAACGAAACAAATGGTCCCTCTTTATGTATTGTGGGCAGTCTTTATAAAATTATGTACCCATAGTTGCGATATTTTTTAGATGAAAGCGGCGTTGACCTCTCAACAAAAGGTCAACAATGACTAAGTACTGGTATGCAATAAAAGCAAATAAATCCACTTACATCACAATTTTATATTTTATAGCTGTTAAACTGGTCATTTTGGTTTTTAAAGTATCTTCAATATGCTCCTTGATTTCTTAGAGTACATCAAAACAAAAACTGGCGAACCATTTAAAGAGTACCGTCCTCATTGCTGATTCCGTTGGCGCAGCAATTAAGGATCCTTATTGTTGATTGCAATATCTTAGTGTTATTCAAATAGTTATAGCAAAAAATTATAGTCCGTTGGGATCAATCCGTACGCGATGTTAAGATTGAGCTCTCTCTTCTTCCAACTGCTAATCTATGTAATTACCTTATCTATCTCCAAGCAAGATGATCATGACGATCACGATGACACTAGGCTTGAATATACCGCATGGATAGATATTTTAACTGTTTAACTGGATATTTCTTTTAACTGTTTAAAGAATTTCAAGAGAAAAAAAGGAAAAAATTCAGATTCTTCTTTAATTTCTTATACATTTTTCAATATAATTAATGATATCTATATTTGCATATCGGTCATTAAAAGACTTCAAGAGCCAAAGCAAAACAATGAATAGCCAATATATCAATCATCATACTTTTGGGAATAATGACACCATTTGTGACCTTTTCTAACGAAGATTTCAAATTAAACCTATAGATGACTGATTAATCAAATAATTACCAAAAAATTTTTGATGTATTCGGATTCTGTGAAAAAGAATCGCTGTTCCACTTCAGCATTAACTGACAAATTTTCAAAATAGGTAAGTGAATTGAAAAGTTATCCAAATCCAACAAATGCGAGAAATGCGCTAAGCATAGAAAAAATAAAGAAAATAAAGAACCTAGCCATATCTCTTGCAATCCTGAATCTAAGCCTAAACTGCACGTCGAAACTTGCATCCTAGGCTCAACTTCAGTTACCTTTTATATTAGGTGAAATCTAAATTTCATATATTAGAAGGAATTTAAGACGATGATTTTAGGTGAATTGATTATCGTTCTAATAAATATGCCTTTCAAATTTTTAATATATCATCTTCAGTCAGCTATTTATAATTTGGAAAGCTGTTTCTGTTTTGAGTTAGGGGACATCTCACCTCAATAGTGAATGCAATCGATGAAACCAGAAATGGTGAATATCGTTGGAAATAGAAGGAGATGATATAGGAGCCATTCGATTAACACCAATAAAGTTTTGAAGTCGAGAAAAAATCTTATACGCTAAAATAATAATCATTGCTGCAATTTATCCGCAGTTATCTTCAGTTATTCAATTTAGTTATACAATTATCATGCAATTGTCATACAATTTGCATTTTTAACAAAAATATCTTTTATGAATACAGGTGAGTCGCCAGCATCGCCCGGTTTTTTGTACAGGTTTACTCCTGCGGGGAATCGAACCTCAGCACCGACGCTATTTGCATTTTTAACAAAAATATCTATTTTATATATGCACGTTTATGAATGAATAAGAATATAAGTTTAAGAAACAACTCGTGTGGCCTTGAAATTTGTTCGTCGGCATTTCTGTGAATGGATTTAGTTAAAAACCTTATTCGATAATAATATATGCCCCGCTTAATAAGTTGACGCCTTCAAACAACAAAAAGCGGCATCATTACAATGATGAATGCGGCAAATAATGGCGGTATTACACGATAGGATGATGATGATGATGAGGTCAAAATCAACGCCGTACTTCATAGGAATTATTGTTCGGTCAAAAGGCCTTCATAAAAAAGAAGCCTTTGAAAGAACGATCGTTTCCTCAAAGGTCAACTTGCGTTACACTAAGGGATTATTGAGAGCTTATGCAAGCTTAACCGTTGACCTTTTTCATTCGGCTGTTTAGTAAAGTAACAGTGGATTCAGCTTTGATCTGATGAAATGAAGTCAGAAATGAATGTAGCAATTGTATTTCTTATAATCAAAAAAATTTCTAAATTTTTAAGAAAAACAAGGAAAAATAGGAAATGCAAATTAAAGGATTTTCAACGGATAGTAATCAGTTGATCAATTCGTGCTGTGGTCGAATTAGCGAAAAACAGATTGATGATGGATGCATCGTATTACATCTGAATAAGCGAAAATGGGTGAATAGTGGTTTTATGAGAGAGAAAGATGTTGATAAAATCAACCATATGGTAAAGAACCATATTCAAATGGAAAAACAGTTCAATCTCTGGAGAACATTCACTTGTAAAATATGCAAAAGCAAATATTTCACATGTCAAAGGTCGATTAAAGGCCATAATTATTCCTATTGTGGCAAAAAATTTGCAAAATTTTCCATATATTTATCTATTTTATCGATATCATCGACATTTTTTCAAATTTTAAATTTGCATTTTAAGAAACGACAAAATTATTATTGCAAATTTTGAAAATAGACGAAAATTTCGGAATTACTCCAGGAAATAATCTGTTTTCTTAGTAATACTAGGATAATTTTTAAGAGAGGTGATGCTGGCGACTCACCTGTATTTCTATCGCCAAGGACCCCATGGCATATTGCCCAATTGCGACAAGCCAGTGGAGCGAGTTTAACCTGTAATGGTGAGCACTCTTAAAAGAAAGAAGAAGTCTCCTGGCTTACAAGATTTGCGATATTAATGCTTACTGTATTCTTTATTATTTAATTATTTACTCTCTTACTTACTCATTTACATGTTAATTAGCAGATATAAATTTATACTTATAAAGTAATCTAATCACTGATCAATTTATGCCAACTAAATTTGCTAACGTCTAAGAAATCGTTTTATTTTTCCGTGCAATCATAGAAAATAATAGAATTTTTATGCAAGCAATCTGCCACTCACTATTTTAACATTCAGCGAAAGCTGTTATTATGCAATTCGTCGGATTATTTTGCTAAGCAATCCAAGTGGAACTATCGGTTGCTTAGAAGATCTTCACAAGAACCTGTAACTCTTTCTTTTTATGATTGCTCATTCTAAGACATGACCGATAATGACGCAACAATTGCGATGACATTCGGACAGATTCAAATATGTCGATCGATTTACATTAGTTGAATAAGCTAGCCATTCACGATTATACAGTCATTGCCATAATTTATTATCTTTTTTGGAATGAACCTCGGATAGAAATTTGAGCATAAAAATGCGAATGTGACAGGGAATACTGTAGACTTGGCCGCTCAGCTAAAATAAGACTTGCAGCAAATGAAAATCCCTTCCGTTCCGAATTCTTTGAAAAATCTTTTAATTGGCAATATTCGAGTGAATAATTGGATTGAAAACATCGAAAGTGAATCAACTAATTTTGCAAAATTTTTTAAACGCATACGAATATTCTTCTGGAAGAAATAAAAGATTTTGGACTTCCATTCAATATGAGTCTCGGCGATTCATTTTCACTCCTTTTTCGCGAATATTTTTACAAAAAAAATGAAAAAATGTGATTGGAAGCAGCGAAAGAAGAAGTGAAGAAGAATTTCATTTGATTCAATTTATCTTTAGCGATGATAAAATTGCGTTCGCCCTCGGCGATTAACTTTTGTGGTTGCTTTATTACATTTCGAGTAGTGTACGAGATTCGATTTGGTAAACACCATCGAGCTTATTATTAATCATATTGTAATAGCAGATATAAACAATTTTATAGTCTATTTTCTGATCGAAATTTATGCTCACAATTTTATTTGACTTTCAAGCAAAAAATCAAATCGAAAATTAGGATAAATTATTAATTGCAAAAATTTGATGCAACGAACTGTTGGAATTATAATCTGATAAAGGATTTTAGTGATAATAATAAGTTTCTTTCGAAAAATAGTTTTTCTTTTTCGAATTGTTTTCGTTTTCTGTAAAAATGTAGTAAATTTTGTCATTAAAAGTCAAATCAGATTCAGCCGCCGATGCTGATAATTTACTTCAATTTGGAATTAATGAGCAATCTGATCTGTTTTCAAAATGTTTATGGCAGTTATGAATCTTTATCATATTTTATTCCTTCCTCTTCTTCTCCCAATAGTTTGTACAAATATTGGGTGGCTCGACTGGCTAAAATGTGAGCGTTGTGCATATATTCTTTTTTCTTCTCTCGCATTATCAGTACCATAGGCCAAATGTGCTAATTACAAAGGTGAGACATTATAATATTTTATTTTATTTCCGACAATTTTAATTAAATATTGATGGATAGCTCGTTTTATTTATTTCATTTTATTGGATTTTCCGCGTATTTTCTGTAAAATCAATCGTTGTACCCTTCACCGGAGGGCGAACCGCATTTTGAAAATTTTGCAAATAATCAATCCGCATATCAGTCATGCTTGCGAAGCAAACACATGTGTACTTTCTGCTTTCTATGCATTGCTAATGCTAATGCATATTAATGGGTTGTATACCAGAATGATCGATGATTATGCAACGCATGTGTATCCTTGTGCAACTTGTTGACCCTGAACGATTTGGCTCGATAAATGACATAAGAAAAGTGTTGCTCTCGAAACGATCGGTCACTAGAGGTCAGTTTGGGGCGGAACCATAATGGGCGAATCATTACGTTGTTTCGCATATATACACTAGCATTCAATATTTTCACGAGCGCCGGTCTGACCTTTCGACCTTTCTTGCTTAACTGACCACTACTGAAGAATTTTCTCGATCCGTTCGAAAAATTTTTTGTAAACGATGCAAAGTACAGCCGTGGATTTTACATGTGACCGCATAAGTCCAGTTCGTTCACCGCAACTTCCATCCAGGTCATCGCCAACATTTCAAGATATTCAAGCTTTTCTCTATTTCTAACCCATTTTCCGATATTTTTTGTATTTTCTATCAGGCATATCTGATCAGAAATAAAACTGTTGGTCTACTTCGTATTTAGGCAGTTATGGCTATGTTGGCTCTCTAATATTGGACTCAAACAACGACATTTGACTAAAACATGGCTAGAATCATGGCTATTCTCCATTTCTTAATTTTCTCACCACTGCGCATTTAGTAGAATAAAATATAAAATACATCACCTGGATGAAAGAAAGTTAAAGCTACAAAAATTTTGTGATTCGAGAATATTTATTCTTAATCCCAATTGGACCCAAAGACCTAAGTTAGAATCGAAATTTCAGCTTATAATTTAAATTTTGTTAAATTTCAGCACATCGCTTGATCAAACACCTCTTTCTGCAGATCTCACGGCCGCTCTATCCGCATTGCGAACACCTATTGCAGTAACAACAACAACAACAATACCCAATTTTCCCATTTTTCCTTTCTCTGATCCTAGCTTTTTTGCACTTACACAACAGCTTAATAATCTTACTAGTCTTCCAAAATTTCCTTTAGCACCATTCATAACGCCGATTGTTTCAACAATACCCACAACTATTGCAACACCAATTCCTAAAAGAACGCAACTCGAACCCACACCAGCTAGTCCTCAGTCATGCACATCTACAGTGATCTCCTCAAGTCCTCAAGCTTCTCCACATCGAAAGCAAGCTGCGCCAATTCCGAATGAAAAAAAGGTAAGATTTCGTAATCTGCTTCAAAATCGAATTTTTTCAACAGTTTTCTAAGAATCAACAATTAATAAAAGTGAAATGGATAGGCGAATTATCTAACAAACTTTTCGCTCAATGTTCAATTTACCTCTAATAATTAATAATTATCAATGGTCAAATAATGAATTTTTAATTTTTATCACTACAATTTAATATGGTTGATAAAAAGAATACATAAAAATAATGTATTTGTATTAAAAAAATCCTAAAAATTCCAATAATAAACGAAAAGAAATAGGAAATTTATTTAAAAAATTATCTGTTAATACAATATTAATGAAATACTAGTAATATTGATAATATAATAATATTTATAATAATATTTATAATTATAATATTGGAATTTATAATATTGATGATAAAAATTAATAAATTCTGGTATTAAATATTTTATTCAATATTATGTATATATTATTATTTAAAATTGATAATTATGATGTGTGGAGTTAACCGATGAAGAGACAATACGATAACGTTCTGGTGATAAATTAATGAAATATATTTTATATATTAGGGGGAATGCTTTGAAAAAATTCATATGAGAATAAACCTTTTGTAAAAAATGAAATTGCTGGATATATGCATTTTTATCTCCTCTGTAACACCCTGGTAAGGGAGTACCAATATTTATCAGGAAAGATGAGTAGGATTAGCAAGAAAGAAGAAGGAAATGGTTTTATATGCAACACTTTTTAAATGATGATAGTGGGGAAATAACAAATTATGTATGATTGGCAGTACCAATTCTTAGAATTTCACAAGCCTTTTTTCTACTCGAGTGAGCTGTAATTTTCTTATTTACAACTTTCTGACATTTGTGAGATAATCGCTAAATTTGGCGACAACAAACGTAGAGATACGCACACACAGTTGCTGTTGATTTGCACAATGTTGTGCTTCTTGTTGTGGGTTATCGTAAATAATGAAGCTCGATTATGTTTAAAATATGCCATTTGACCTTCTTGCATACCTTTCGTTGACCGGACTTTTTGTAATATTTTCCACTAAAAGATCGGTGAAGAATTACCATTGCGCAGCTGCTGTTGTGCTGCTGAGCGTTGTTCAATAGAGCGATTTTGAGGTTCTTTCTGCTTTTACGATTGCCAACAGTTATTTGACAAATTAAGGGCACAATACTACCGTAATTTATTGCTTTACTGACCCTATAAATCCAAAGAAATTTTAATCAGTCGGCATAATTATATTCATTCAGATTAGTATTGAATCAATTATTGTTATAGAACTTAAAATAATATTTAAAGTTGAGAGGTTTTTCCTAAACAACCAGGTGCATTAGGTTTTATGTGATAATAGGTAAAGATGATAGTTGGATGATTTCTATCCTAATATTTGCTATTATTCCTAATTGCTGTGTTTTACGAACAATTATTTGCTTTAAATCGTGGATTTATTGCTTGAATTGCATGAGACTGTGATTTGTTCATGTTTATGTGGAAAATTTCCTTTCTAAAAATTTGTCCATATTTTCCATGTAAAAATTGCTTTTCCAAACAATTGTCAATAGTTTAGGGAATTGCTTCCAAAAATACCATTTTGTTCCTAAAAGTGTAATTTCTTCCTCAAATAATATTTATTATTTCTGGTTTCGATTAACTTCACTGGCTTTTAGGATGCAATCTTTCGTCAGGCAGTCACTTGAAGATAAAAAGATAGTTACCCAGCATTACCCGAGTGCCATTTTTTATAATAACCCAAGGGAAAAGGACCAAAACTATAATGCTTTGGCCTTTGTTAGAACGATAGCTGACCCTATAATGCAGAAAATAATTTGTAAAAATGGAGAAAATTTGAAAGATTTTCTTAAAATTAGGAATCAAACATAAAAATTTGACCTGTTTATATTAAAAATATTTTACTTAATTTTTATATTAAATATATTTTTATGTTAAATAAATAAAGTCCTAACAATAATATTGATAATAATTGTAATATTAATAATACTGTGATTAAAATTGAAAAATTTAAATGGATAATGAAATCGAGACAAATTACGTAGGGCGATGGGTATATAAGTGGAAGAGGAAAATGAGGATAATCCGGATGAAGTGAAAACTTCCCTTTATCGGGCTGTTAATCATAGTCATTATGTGGCGGCAATATTTTCATGCTTGAGCAGATATATTCATAATTTGACCTGTTGGCTTGATGAATATTGCATCTATAGATGAACAATGTCTACTATCTAACACAGTAACAAAGAAATCGTAATAAAACCAAACAATCCAACTGTCCATCAGTCATAATCGCATAGCTTCCATGCTTGCCATATTCTATTCATTCACTCGGTATTCATTGTTTTTTTTCCGGTCAGTCAGTAATAAATCGAATCGAGATTCGCCTTGATAAATCGAACTTCCACTTTAATGAATCGGCCATTCTTTAAATTTATTCTCAATCTTCAAAAGATTATAGGATGAAGCATATTACGAAAGGAGAAGAAAGAATAATGATGCAGCGAAGCGCTCGCGAGATGCCAGAAGGCAAAAAGAAGAAGCAGTTGCAGCTCGAGCAGCTCTTCTTGAACAGGTCAGATGCAGAACTGACACCTAAACAATACTTTTAGGATTTCCATTTTCACAGTATCCTAAATGGATTCTGAAGGATATTTTTTTCCAGGAGAATATACAGTTAAGAAGTCAGGTAGCTCTTTTACAAAAAGAAACTGCTAAATTACATCTATTATTATTTTCGCAAACGAAACCGTTCGATAGCAACAATCCATTAGCGCATTTAAAAACCGATCAGGCGAATAACGGTGTGGAAAGTGGAAAATCGTTTTCCGTGGAACATTTACCCAGCTAATGCTTATAATTCCGACGATGGTTAGTAGTGGTGTTTGATATCTTTAATCGCCAGTAAACCTATTTATTTATTACATTTTATTTGATAATTCTGCTAAACAAAAACTTGAATTATTACTAAAGGATGGATGAACGATAGTTTAACTAATTTAATAAAAAGGCAAAAACAATTTTATTATTATTTGATATAAAATTTTTAATTCTCTGCTTGGATTTTCCTCTTTACTTTGCTTTATTTATCCGCATATGAAGATAAGCCTAAGCTAGAAATACTATAAATACTCTGAAATAATAAGTCAGTCAGCTCGATTATCCTCCTTTAGAAGCCATTTAGAAGGGCTTAATTTCAGATTTAATAGATCCATTGACCTAGTATTTTCCAAAAAATGTTAGTTCAAAGATTTTTACTACATTTCACTGATTATATTTTTATAAATATTTTATAAATATATATATAATTTTCGTGTTTTTTATTTACAATATTTTATCTTGTAATTTTATTTGGATGTTTTTTTATTATAATAGTATTGTTTTATTTTTATGATATTAATACTTATTACTTTGCCTTTTTATCGACCAGTAGGCTTCGATAAAGCATGCAAATTGTCCAAATATTTCCTTAATAATCTATTAAATATTCTCGAAGTAATATTTTCGCAGATATTTTTTAATTTTATATCTGATTTGCATGAATTTGATAGATTCTGCATCTCATTGAATCTCTACGTGCTACGTTAACGATAGAATAAAATTCAGGAAAGATTTCCAAAAATATTCAATTTCTAGTATTTTCTTGCGCAAAAATTTCCAAGGTTTATTATTGCTGTGATTTTTTTCATGAATTTATTGTGCTCTATTGATGCTCTAAATTCGTTTTTAATATAAATAATTTAATTGTTACTCTATGCAATTATTGTATTTTTAAACGATTATTCAAGTACCACATCCTACGGTATCGGTATTCCATCTATTGATATATTCTCTTTAAATATTCTTTAAAATTTCATTTAAATTTTTGTAATACGAGTGAAAAATTCCCATTGCTTGTTCATTTCACGGGTAAATCCGTTATATTCATTCTTAAAATTTTTATTATAATAATTATTACAATAATAATTGCTATTTTTTATTGTTGAACATTTCTATATTCGAAATTCTATTGTAAGATGTATGATCGGAAAAATAAAATTTATGTATGCTACTCAAAAGTGACATGAAATTCCCCGGAATATTCTCCTCGGAGATTAGCTTAGGCTTATTGTGAAAAATCCACGAAACCTGTTAACTCAAAAATAATAAATACTATGGAACACTGGCGAAAATGCAAATTCGTTGGTTAATTAGAATTGGCACAAATAAAATAAATGTAATTGTAAATGTATTATGAAAATAATTGTTCTTGTGGTTATGGAAGTATTTTAATTGCTGGTAAAACTGAATCTATTATTAATTTTTATGCATGATAAGGGAAATCAAAAGATGAATGACCATCGCTGATGGATTCAGATTACTAAAAAGCTATTAGAATGTTGTGACCTAAAACACGAACAATACGAGAATTTGGTAGATTAATTGTCTCTAATTGTTTGAAAGCTGAGACACTGATTTTACACAAATAATTGCTATAAAAAAAAGAAAATGCGGTATCAACGGCTGAAGTGGACTGTCAAATGATAAATGATAGAGGCACTGTTAAGATTCCACGTTTCTTGCTTTTCCTCTTAATGGGGTTTATATTACAAAAAAATTTCAACGACCAATACAACGATCTAACTGCGTTTGAGAGACATCACGAAACATTGTTCATAAAAGAATCGTCGTGTGAAACCATTCATTGAGTGGTCAAAAAATCGAACATAAACGGTCAACAAATACACATCTTAGTCAGTCAGTCATTTGCTGATATATTTACATAGACATAATGCCCATTTAGACTGACCGATGAAATACCAATAACAAGTCTATTTGCATAAGATAATAAAGGTTAACCGTAGGTCACCACATTTTAATGCTCAACACTTAATGTTTGTGGCCAAACAGTGTATTTATATAGTGCACTAGCCAAGCATTTACATTTGTTAGATTGGATATCAATGAGAAAATTTTCGCATATGAAAGATTTCCAAGGTTTTCATATCATTTTCTTCCAAATATTCATACTGTAAAGCAAATTAAATTAGCTTCGAAGATGATTTTCGAAAGAATTTTTGGCGATTCATGAAAATTTAATGAAAATGGCGAATTGTTCGACTGGATAAAGGGGGGAAAATGTTCGATATCGAATATCAATACCAACTTTATACGTTTATTTAGATATCAATGTTTATATTTGCTTGAGTGATTATTAAATCGAACGACATATTGAGAGAGTTTCTTTTTATTTATTAATATTTGAGCAACAGTTTTAGTTTTATTGTTCAATTATTGATAATTCTGCTAATTATCAATTTCCAGTTGTTTATTATTATTATTAATTATTATCATTATTATTGTTATTGTTATTATTATTAATATCATTATCATTATTACTATCATTTTTATTATTAATTATTATTAATTATTATTGTTAATTATTATTATTATTAATTATTATCACCACTATTATTATTATTACTATCATTGTTATCATTATTGTTTTATTATTATTATCTTTATTACTATTGTTATTTTATCATTATTATTATCATTAATATTATTATCAGTTATTATTAACTATTATTAATATTATTGTCATTATTATTATTAATATTATTATTATTAATTGCTATTATTATTTATTTATTCATTTATATTAATGATAATAATAATGATAAAATATTATATTTATATTATTTATATTATTTATTATTTATATTATTTATACAAATTTTTTAAAAGTTAATGCTGTTGTTGTTAGAATTGTTATTACCACTATTTCGATTATCATTCAATATTGCCCTTGTGCCACAGATTTTATTGTTATTATTGTTATAAATATTATTATCGCTAATGCAATTCTAATCATTATCATTATTATCATTATCATTAGCTGATATTACCTTTAATTCGAATTCATCTTCATTAATAATTAAATTTTCTTCAATTTAATAAATTTTCTATAAAGTTAATTATCCGGCAAGGGATGGAATGGCTCAGCTTTGCTCTCATTCGTTGATATTGGTATTCTACTCGCAAAAGGAATAAACCTGGCAAAAATCCGACCGGACTTCCACCGCCAAGCGGTCTTCTGTCAACAGAATAAGCCAGCAGAAGCGGCTTAACCGGAGTGAGGTAAGCCTCTTCACCTAATTATCAGGATCTTGAGCGAATAAGCATGTGCAGTAGTGCGCGTGCGGACGAGGAATTTATATCTGTTCCAGCATTTTTAAACTTTTTATGGAATTTGCTTTTTTGGTTCTAATACGCCATAGCGTGCGCGAAGTTGGTCCTTGAGGGTTGTGTTCGGGGTCATTTCGGGGTCAAATTATAATTATATTATCCTCAAAATTATAAAATAAAGTAAATTGCATTCGGTTTCCTTGAAATTTTCTGGAGAAAGATATTTGTGAATTTTTTTATTTGTTTTAATTTTCTAAATTTTTTTTGAAAAATTCTCCTTTTTTTCATTTTTTTATTGATTTTTATAACAATTCTTAAATAATATTATATTTATTGCTGTTTATTTCTTAATAAATCGAACGATTCATTCATTTTTTTGTTTTTGCATTTTGTAAAATAATTTAATTATTTAATATTTTTTGTCGGATTTCAATTTGTCATATTTTTTTAATGGTATTTTTTTCAAATTTTCGGTTGAAATATGGTGGCTTATCGTGGTTTTTTATTTACATCATCGATAATTAAAAATGCAAAGAGGTTGTCGTCAAATTTTAAATATCATCCAGAAGTAGTAAAATTGGAACTTGGTAAGTTGTAGAAAATTTTAGATAATTCTTAAAATTTATTTCTTTTCTAAATTCTTTTTGGTATTTCAAATTTGTAATATCTTAATAATTTTATTTATTTTTGAATGATTTTTACTAAATATTTTGCCTTTCATTAGGGGAAACTACAAAAATGAATCTTTGTCAAGCAGTAAATAATGCAATGGATATAGCACTCAAAACTGATCCAACAGCTTGTGTTTTTGGCGAAGATGTTGCTTTTGGTGGTGTTTTTCGATGTTCTGTTGGTCTACAAGAAAAATATGGTTTATTATTTTGTCACTTCATTTTATTCTTTTTATGATTTTTATTTGTTTTTAGTGAGGAAAATGTTTGATTATTTACAATATATCCGTTTTGGAACCAAAATTCTAAATTTATATATTTCATTTATTTTTTATTTTCTTATTTTTTATATTTAATTTGATTCGGAATTTTTTATTGCGGGCCTTCGTTATTTTGGAAGAATATTTAAAAAATAATTTTCTCAATTTAGGTAAAGATCGAGTTTTCAACACTCCTTTAAGTGAACAAGGAATAGCGGGTTTTGGAATTGGTCTTGCCGCTGTGGGTGCGACGGCAATCGCTGAGATTCAATTTGCTGATTATATATTTCCTGCTTTCGACCAGGTTTATTTCAGTTATTTCCAGTTTTTTTCCTATTTTTAAAAATATTTTCTGTTTGTTTCATCTTTGTTTTCAGATTTTCTGGGAAATTGCATTCATATTTTTTTTCACATGAAAGCAAAAATGCAAGCATATTAGCTTTCAATCTTTCGTTTAATGGATGACCTGTTATTTTCAGATTATTTATTTACTTTTCTTAAAATTATTTTTCATAAAATTCAATGCAGATTGTGAATGAAGCAGCAAAATTTCGTTATCGAAGTGCTAGCATGTTTGACTGCGGTAAGTTGACAATTCGTACAACTTGGGGTGCAGTTGGTCATGGCGGCTTATATCATTCACAATCTCCTGAAGCTTATTTTGCTCATACTCCTGGATTAAAAGTAGGTTTAATTATTTATTTTTAAATAGGACTCTATTTGCAGTGAAATATGAAATATGAAATATTTTTTAGTTAAATTTTTGAGATAATTATTTCCCTTTTCTTCATTTTTGCATAATATATTTTAATTTTTCATCCTATATTTAGAGCTATCTTTTAACCATTGCTTAAGTGGAAATAATTATTAAATATTTAGATGTTTGCTTTCTTTATAATCGAAAAATCAATTTATTTTTCATTAATTGCTGCATTCATGAAACTGTTTTCTTTTTTTGTTTTCTAAATCGGAATTTTTTATCTTTTCAGAAATTAACAGAAAATTCTTTCTAAAATAATTTATTTTTTTTACTTTTTACTCTTTTTTACTTTTCTCCCATTTAGGTTGTAATACCTCGCGGTCCAATTCAAGCCAAAGGTTTATTGCTATCTTGTATAAGGGACGAAAATCCATGTATTTTCTTCGAACCCAAAGTTTTATATCGAACTGCTACGGAAGAAGTTCCGGTGGGGGATTATATGGTTGAATTAAGTAAAGCAGATATTGTGAAATATGGTTAGTTTTGCACAGTGTAACGAAAAAATAATTGCTTGTTTATTAATTTTATTTTTTGGTTTGTTTGATCTGGATATTTGTTATTGGTATTAAATTTCTAGGAAAGAATATTACCTTAGTGGGGTGGGGAACTCAACTTCATGTGTTATTAGACGCCGCCGAGATTGCTGAGAAAGATCATGGAATAAGTTGCGAAGTAATCGACTTACGCACTATCTTGCCATGGGATGTTGATACAATTGCAACGGTTTTTCATTTCTTGCATTTGCAACTTTTAAGGAGCCTTGATTTGTTTCTTCTTTTATATATAATTACATAATATCATTCCTAAATTTATGTTTATTTTTCGTTTTCTTTTGTCCATATTATCTTAATTTTTTATTATTTTAATCATTTTGTCATTTATCATTTCATTTTCGTTTTTAATTTTTCGTTTTTTCGTTTTTAATTTCTTCATTTTAAGAGTGTTATTAAGACTGGTCGACTTCTTGTATCGCATGAGGCTCCTTTATCTTCTGGTTTCGCTTCTGAAATTGCAGCCGTAATTCAGGTAAAATTTTATTGTGCTTTATTGTTTCCTATTCAGTATATTTTAATCTTACGGCATGAATCATTTATATTTCGTAATAAGCCATTGTTATAAATGAAAAAAATCTAGGAACGATGTTTTTTAAATTTGGAAGCGCCTATCGCTCGTGTTTGCGGATGGGATACGCCATTTCCGCATATTTTTGAACCATTTTATTTGCCAAGCAAATGGCGCGTATTAGAAGCGATCTTAAAAACCATTAAATACTAAAAAATTCCATTTTTAAACCTTTATATGGTTTTAAATGTAAGTATCAAATTGGTAATATTATTGATGCATAAATTGAAGTAAATTATAAATTTTTATTATAAATTATAAATAGTTAATTGCTATTTATTCATTTTTTCTTTATCTTCTATCGTACTATTTATTAACATTAACATAATATAATTTTCCAATTGTATTTTTTTATTTCCCTTTCTTTTTGTACTTTTGTATAATAATTTCTGGCTCTGCCTTCTTTAAAAATTTATTTGTATATTTATATATTTGTTATTTGGATTGTCGCTACATATATCGTCTCATCTAAAAAGCCCATTCTTTCCTGCGTATCTAAGGTGATTAAAGTATATATTTAATTTATTGCTTGTGGTACTTTCTCATTTCTATTTTTAATTATTTATTATTATTTCGCTTTTTGTTTTTTTTGATTCTCTTTAAATATTTATTAAATAATTTTCTTTAATTGTATGTTTGAATTTCTCCATTTTACTTTTTTATTATTTCACAAGTAATTGATGAGGAGATGAGAATTGAAAGAATTATTATTCCAATATTAAGAGGTGGCTCCATTATGCGACTTTTTGTTTAAATGTTTAATTTCCAGCTTGGCTGTTTGCTTCATTCAATTTTTGTTCATTTTTGCCTTTGAATAATGTAATTTTGAAATCTTTGCAAAATGCGACTGAATCGAAGCAAAATTTTTTTCAGGAATAGGGAATATGAAAAGAAAACAAAAAGTTATAGAAAACGCTGGTTTATACTTGAATATATTTAATTTGGTTCTGGTTGATTTTCCTATCACAAAATTCGATAAATTTTTGGGTATAGAAATAAAAAATAGTTAAAAAATAAAAATAGCTCGTCTGCAAAAAAGTTCGAACCAACATTTTTTGTAGTGGAATACTGCGATTGTCGATTGGTCGGTTTGAGACGAAATTTTTATTTTATAAAGGTAATCGGTTCGTTGCTATATTTTGCAAAATTTTATCGCATTTATTGACTTTCTCAAAATTTAAATGATATGTGATGTATTTTAAAATTTTTCGATTTTTTTATTTTCTGATTTTTCCGATTTCTTCGAAAAAAAAATAAAAATTAGATAGTTTTCATTCAATTCAATTATTATTAGGAAGTAAGTAATTATGGTTGAGTTTTGCTGGTTAATTATAGAATAGGAGAATTTTGTTAGAGAATCACAGAAATAGTGAATTACAAGTGAATCACTTGAAAAGGCAGATTTTTTAATGACAGAGGGGTTATTTTACTTCTACGATATACGAGCATTGAACAAATATTATTAGCAATGAATCGAAAGTGTTAACAAAGAACTTAAGGTGTTAAAAAGTTTTAAAATATCAGCAGCGATGGTAACTAAATTTACTCTTTTACTTTATAAGTCGGCGAGAATTTTTTATGATTTAAGTTTATTATCCGAGAAATTAACGAATCAAATGAGCACATAAGCGAAAAAAAATTGGAAAAATTCAAACGGCTAATAAATTTATAAAAGTGAAATGAAGCATATCGAAAAGAAAAAAAAAAAGAATTTTGTATTTAAAGGGGATTCTTTAATTAAAATTTCATTGGTTTTTTTGAAGGATTTATGCAATTGCGATTTGTTTTCTTAATTTAACGAATAATAATGCAAAAAACTATAAAATTTTTAATTTTTTAAAGAAAAAATTCAGGAAATTCAAATGAGAAAATAAAAATTTACAAATTAATTTCCGAGTATTTCTAAATGTAGTACCACGAGAGAGAACGAAATAGTCGTTGTTCAGGTTGCTAGTCAGGTATCGGACTTCGTTTCCGAATAGGAATGGGCAGTGAGTCTGTCAAAAATCCATATGGACCCACAAAAATCTCTGCATTTATCTGCCAATTACCAAGTAACTTTCTCCATGCCAAAAATTTCTCGCCATACTTATAAACCAGTGAGGCGAATATTAGTCTAAAGTGATGAGCGCTGCCGCTTAATTTTTTGCTATCGAGAATGAACTTCTTCATCTCCACTGTTGCTGCACATAGCATCAGACTGCTTTCCTTCTTTTATTAAATTAATGGGAGGGATTTTTTTGTCAATTTTTGCAAACAAATTTATAAAATGAAATATAGTGAGAAAAAATGTGATTTTAAAAAAATGCCAATCTTTTTTAGCTGTGAAAAACGAGATATTATTAAAATTGCAAGCACTTAGAACTATTAATGTAGAATAATTGTTCCTAAATTTTTTGCTCTTGAAGCTCTTTGGCATTTTTACGATGCTTAATGAGTCTTGCAGATCCTTCCTCGAAGCCTATTAGCTCCTTGTGAACGGTGAATAAAGCCTATTGATATAATAAGGAAATATCTGTGGTTTCCACAGGCGAGAAGACAACAAATGCACTGCTAATTTGCACTACTCTGTTTTTTGAAAGAAAGTAAATTCAATGGTAAATGATAAATTGGAGATTGAAAATTTTCTCAGTTTTTTCTTTAATAAATTCTCACAGAAAAATTTTCACAGAGAATTTTCGATTCAAAAGACCAATCGTAGAAGGAAATTGTAATAATCTTTCTTATTTTCGAACCATTATTTTTCCATTTTCTCAAAATTAAATTTATTGCAGCAAAAATTGTTAAAGGAAATTAGTTGATTTTAGCAAATTGCTTTTGAAAAAGCTTTTTTTCGTTTAATGCATTATGGAACCATTTATTTAATTATTGCAGGTAATATTTTCTATATTACTTTAAATTTTAATTCACTAGCGATACATGTCACATGCATTGATAATGGACAGCATAGTTCCAGAAGGTGAAATGCAGATGGTACTCATCTAGGTCTCTAATCCTGAAAGAACCACTCCTTTTTTCGCATCCTTATTGAAATATTTATATAATATAAATATTACATTTAATGCATATCCCTAAATTTTAGAAGAGATAAAAGTCTACATGAAACATGAAGCGAACATGCCTTCAACCCACTCAATTTCTTAATATCGGATATTGACGTCAACTTTCATCATTACTCGATAGATTTTTTGCATAACGTCATTTAATCAGCCATTTCTAGCCAATAAACAAATGACCGCTTTATGCCACTAAAAAGGCCAAAGCCAGAAGGAAAAAAAATTAGTTGAAAATATGGGGAGGGAACCGAAAATCGTCTACGAATCGTCTTCTTGTTTGTTTATAAACCACCCATTTGGCTTCTTTTATGGCCACCAATTCGTTCTTTCTGGCCTTTTCTATCCTTCAGTTTGGTTGGCTCTACGAGTTCGTAGAGAACCAATCACTATGCAGTTGAATATCGTTTGACCGACGCTCTAACGAAGGCAGCTGTTGCACGAGCCTGATCGGCCATTTTCCATAACACACCGTCAACCTGAAGGAATCGGATCTATTATAGCTTCAGCCATCTGTCATTAAAACGATACAAATCATAACAAATCAATCTCTTGCAAACATTTTTTCAACAGAGCAGAGTCGCATGTATTCTAATTCTAAGCACGCTTCATTAGTAGTTTAGTTTGTTCATCGAGCGGTATAAATTGGGACGCAGCCATGCTTGAAATTTGCTGAACCAAATTGCATCACATTTTAGTTCTTTTTTTTATTTATTTATTTAAATTTGCAACATCAACAACAGTTAATTTAATCTATGAAATGAAATCTGAAGCAGAATTTTTGTTAAAATTTAAAGCTAATTTCATTTTTTCATTAATTACATTTGTAATTCAAAATAGTTATCGGTTAAATCATTAAATTAAATGATAAGCGTCTTTTTAGTTCGTCCAATAGCAGTTGGTGTTTTGGTTGGTTGGTGACTTAATTGGTTGGTTAATCGATTGTTGGTTCAATTGGTTCAATTTAATTCCATTAGAATGATTCTAATCCACTGATTCCACTTCCAGGAAACCTATTATAAATTTAGAAGAAATTATTGTTCGAAATTTTTTGGAACAGAACGAGAGAGATAAATGAACGATCTAAATATAAAAAAAAAGTTATGAAATTTATAATGAATATTTATTTAAAATAATCATTTTAATCAAATAAAAAGCTAAGGTGATTAAATATGCACCAAAGGTGACCAAACATTCACCTCTATACTCACGTTCATCAATGTTCACAATCACCATCATCATCGTCATCAAATTTGTTTGCAATGATTATTGCTTATTAATCTAAAATTATCATTGATTGCCTAATTGTTCGTATTTTTAGCGAAAAATATTTTTTCCTCTATCTAATTTTCAAACTATAGAAATATTCAAAATATTTTTTAAAAAATAAAAAAATAAAATGAACGATTTATTTAATAAATAAATGAATGAGAAAAAATTATATCATAAAAACTTTAATTTATTCACTTATATTTCAAAAATTCAACAAATCTAAAACTGTATCTCTTCAATTTTTGCAATTTTTACGCTTTCTCGGTGATACATCAGCTTAAGCGGTGGAAGGAATAAGTTCCAGACTTGGCATCAGATTGAGAGAATTGGAAATATCTTACTGGTAATTGGTAATACCAGTAGCCAGTTAAATCGACCAGTAATTATGCAAGTTGAAAAAAAAAAGATTTTCTTTTTGCATGTCTTAAAGTATTGTGAAACATCCATAAATTGTATAAAAATGAGCGCACGCAATAGAAATTTTTATAAATTTTATATTTAAAAAACCGCAATATTGTCGCAAAAATAGAATTAATAGTAAAAAATAGAATAATAAAATTAAATTCTTTAATTAAATTCTTTAATTCTTCTAAAATTAATTCATATTATATTAATAATTTAATAATATAATAGGAATCGGAATGCAGTGACCTACCGTCACCGTCTCGAGCATTCAACTTTGATTTCTGCCTCCGGCATGAAAAATCTGCCAGCAAAAAATCGGGTCGGTGTTGGTTACAAACAACTAGGAACCATTAGAGCTCATCAAACCGCATTTTCTGCAATATTAAATTATGCAATTTTTCCGATTAATTTTTAATTTTTAAATAATTATTAATAAATAATTATTAAATTATATATCGAACTTTATTTAGAATTTCTTAAAATTTTAGAAACTTTTGGATTTCAGGTTGAAAAATTCTTATCAAATAATCTCAAGCAACAATCATAAAATAGTTTTGGCTTATCAGCAATTCCATTCGTTAAAAAACTCGGCATTTAAGTTGCATTTTTTAAGATTTCTTTTATAAAATTTTACTTTTTTTTCTAAAATTTTCCAAAAAAATTTTTTTTCCCTTAAATATATTTTTATAAAAAAGTTTGCTAATTAAAAGCTGAATTTATTCTTCAAAATGTTTACATCAAAAATAATTTTGAAAAATGACGATAAATGACGAATTCAGTCATCCATCGTATTTCCATTCTTTTTATTATATCTCCAGCGCATTCAAAAAGTATACATTTTATCATTATTATTATTATTATGCTTTATTATTGTTATTATTAAAGCTTTTTCATTAAACTCAAAAATCATTGCTGTGACATCATTCGTTAACAATTATTGATAATAATAATAATAATAATAATAATAATAATAATAATAATAATAATAATAATAATAATAATAATGATAAGAAATTATGAATAAATGGTAAATAAAAATGTAAATTTATACTGAAAAAATTTGATTGAAACGAGAAAATTTTGATCAGATTTATTTATTCATTATTTTATAATTAATTACTATGAGCGACTAAAAATTCATAATTTAATTTATTTTGATAAATTTCGTATGAAATTTATTTATAAAAATTTATAAATTTATATCATTTGTGAAATTTCAAATCGTCTCAATTTTTCTTTTTTTCAAAACAGAAAACAATTAATGCGAAATTAAAATTTCTTTTTGATTAAAATTAAAATTTCTTATGTTAATTAAGCTTAAGACAATTTATTTATATGATTATTTGATATGCTCGATTAGCTAATTTTTATAAATTTCTTTTCGCATCATTTCATATTCGATGATAAATTTCAAAAAGTCATCCATGAAGCGGAAAAATCCGCTTCTAATAAATTAATATAGCGATAATTTAACAAAAAAGTGGTCCGCTCTGATTCAATTGCTTTAGCATTCCAGCATTTCGAATAGTTTGCCGGTACCTTCGGGCAACTATTGGAGGTTCGTAAAAGTCGCATTTGAGGGAAGTCGATGGAGTAGTTTTTGAAAAGTGGAATATTCCTTAATCGATTAAATTTTCCTATTAGCTTAATTTTTATTTATGGTTTGCAATTGCTATACTAATAATTGTCATTACAAATTGTTTACTCTAAGAAATGAAAATTTTTATGCAATCGCAATTTCGACGTCACTGAAAATAGTTAATAAATTTATAATTATGTTGCCTTAAAGTTGCTAAATAAATAAGATACTAAATAAGATATGAAACAAAAATCTTCATCGAAGATTGTTTTCGCTCAAACGAAACCTTCTTCAGCTAACAGCTTGCATCCAGCAATTTGGATAACTTTTGCATCTCAGGTCGAGGCGCCGAAATTTTTATCAGCGAACTTCAGAGAGCTCTTCCATAAAACTATAGCTTCATTTAATTCTATTTCTAACAGCTCGCTGGTTTATTTCTCGTTTCACTATGTCCACAGGCTAATAATAATTACAGGCTAATAATAATAATAATAACATTTGGGGCGAATATAAATAGCGAATTTCTTTTAATTTGACTGCATTAAGAATGCATTTCAAAGCCAAAATAAAATATTCAGAGCCCTTGTAAAGAGAACTTCTTAAGTATTAGTAGTGAACACAAAAAAAATATATTTTCCCGAAATTTCACCGCTTTTTTGCTGGAAACACTTAAAAATTTTTTCGTGAATAAATAAATAATTATTAAAAATTGCAATAAAAACTTTCAAATTTTGAACTTTCCAATTTGTGCCTCTTGACGAGCGTAAAATCTCAAATGCAGGTAATGATAAAGGTCCACTTGCGTCGCTATCTTGCGAATTCTAAATGGCCAGTGAAGCCAGTTCAAACCAAAAATGCAGATGAGCGTTGTGAAGGCAACTCGCGACAATTAAAAAACAGCTGAAGAAAAAATTCTAATTTTTGAAAATATATAATATTTCTCTCTAACATTCAATTTATCGAATAATGTGGCTGATCTGTGAACGAAAAAAATATATTCGAGAGAATCCGCTTAATTTTAAAAAAATATATCGATTCGCCTTCTTCGTTCCTTTGGCTGAAATAAACAAATTTTCCACTTGATTTAGAAAATCCCTAAAAAATGTCCTAAAAAAGATTTTTTTCAATAAATGTAAAAATTTAGGCAAAAATCAGTCGGAAATCATTCTATTATTTTCGTTGCTTTGTGGAAAATTGTTTGTTTTGTTTTTTTTAAGAATTGGAAATTGAAATTGGTAACGAAATCATTGTTTCGCTGTTTTCCTGTCACCATTCAACGTCAAACTTCATTTTAAATGACCAACAAAAAAATTTTAAAATTTGAAAGTGAAAAATTCTATAAAAAGAGAAGAAAAATGAAATATGGAAATTATTATTTTTGGAACGAAAATGTCACGAGAAGCCACTTTTTTTGCTGAATATTTCTACTGAATTCTTATTCACTTATTTTTTTCTCATATTTAAAATTCACTATTTAAATTCGATAAAATGAATAAGAAGAACTGAATTTTGATGTGAGAATTATCCTTATTTTTTAAAATCTCGATTTCTTTGTTGAAAAGTTATAAAAATTTTTAAATCCACTGTTGGATTTTTTGAAAAAATGCAAGTGTGCGTACAAATTTGAAAAAAAAAATCTTTATTGAATCTTTTATAGATTCCAAACACCAACATTAAAATTTTATATGATCGCTTTTTTATTCAATTTTTTTCTTTTTTAATATATATTTCTTTTTTAAAATATTTATAATATAACTACATAAATATATTTGATATATTTAAATATATTTATATAAATTTATAAATATTTCTTTTAGTTTAGAAGAGAAAAAAAACAGAAAACAGCAACAAATCGAACGTATCTCCAATAAAAATAGTATAAAAATTATAATTATTATTATTATAATTATTTTTAAAATTATTTATAATAAAAAATATTCTTCGATTGCTATTCTTTGTTGTTGGTGAAAAATAGAATTTTAAAAAAGAAATATGCTAAAGAGATTAGCAATCGAACGAGTAAAACGAGAATTTTATACGACAACAAGCGAACAATATATGGATATATCAGAGAATGAATTTCTCGGTTAATGATGATGATTTAGAATAAATCCGATATTTGCAGGGAAAAAAATGCTTAGCTATTTCTCCAAAATAAAATTACAAAAAAGAGGAAGAGGAAGAGGAAATTTAAAATAAAAAATATTTATTAATATAAAAATATTGTTCACGAATTAGAAGGGAATATCGAAAAAACTTTTACATAAATTATGAAAAAAAATTTTTTCTGTTCGAGTTTCCAATTATCTATATTTTTACATAAATTATGAAAAAAAATTTTTTCTGTTCGAGTTCCCAATTATCTATACAATATGAATAGGAAAGTATACAAGAAAATATAAATATTCATCAAAGGATTGATAGGAAATAAAAATTTGCATGGAAAACTAGGTTCAATAGCAAGCAAAAACCCAGGAAGAAAAAAGATCTCTGATACGCCGATATGATGCCCATATTAATTCATTTTTTTTTCTGTTTCTAGGCACCATATAAAGATGGAAATTTACATAGCGGATTAGATAAGATAAGAGATATATAAAAGAAGACAGAAGACCCGCTAAATATTTTTGAAGAAAATAAAATCCATGAAAATGGAGATAATGATACCAGTTACCATATCAATCATTGCTTATCAAAGCTAATAAAAATGATTGATTAATTTACAAGAAGATAAATAAGCAATTTTACAGTTTTTTATAAAATTTTTTAATAATAATTAATCGGATCGAATGAATCCCTTCTAACTGTCGGGTAAAAAATGATGAAAGTGACAGGCACTTAGAAAAAAAAACCGCCGCCAGAAAAGGCAACCAGGAAAAAAAAAGCAAAAAGGGAAAAGGAAAAAATATTTACTAAACTAATAAGACAGGCTAAATGTACTGTTAAATATATCGATGTCGCTGAGGTCTTCAAGAATATCAAAGATCCGTAAGTTTCTTCAAAAAAATAATATAAGATTTTTTAATGAAAATAAGGATTTTATGGCAATCACGACGGCATCTTTAGCTTATTTTTGGAAAAGAAATTTTCATTTTTAAAGTTTTCATTTATCGACCCTCAAACGTAAAAAAATTTAAAACTTTTATTCAAAACTTCTTTTTCTAGAAAATCCCAGAGTTGGCAAAATTTTTCATTTTGATAATTTGGAGAAATAGCCAGCATTCCTCCCTCATTTAAATATTAAATAGGCAGAGAAAAATATAAGAATGGCGGATACGACCATTATCATTATTTAATTTTTTAGTTAATTGCTCAACTCATCTCTCATTTATTCACACTTATATCCAAGGATATACAAGCAAAAATAAAAATAATAATGAAACTGATTAGCCTAAAGATAAAAACTACTTAACTGATTAGTGAAATACTACTTACTATTGATAATGAAATGAATAGCACGACGAGTGTAATTCGTTGCCTGATCTTACCAAAACCTGACAGAATAAAATGAGGTTGTGGGTAGAGCATAACAAACATGCAAATTCATATATGCTAAACAGATGCCAAAAATAAAAAAAATGAACCCGAAAAAAAAATGATATTATAGCAGAAGTAGAAAAGACAAATAAATATATTTTTTATACAACAGGTATCCAATAAGAGGAATTCGGTGGAAGATACAAAAGCGTTTGACGAGGAGTATGTCCACAATATCCCCCCATACAGCTTTGATTATAATAGATATTAACCGAGAGTTGATATGCCAGCCGATCCACCATTGCAAGCGTTTGACGTCGTTCATGCGACATTAAACAGACTGTACTTTCGCTAATAACACGATATAACAAGAGTAAATAGTCGTATTTCGCCTATAAAAATTTTCCATAATAAAAAATAAATAGCAACCATCAAACTGCATGATGAAGCAGTGAAATACTAAAGATTACCTGATCAGCGTTGCCAAAATGATTATCTAAATATGCCACAAGTTTGATTTCTTGACTGTTAACATCAGGAAAATCAATGAAAAAACGTGAGCACATATATCGCTCAAGTTGTCGGCATTTATTTGGTCTAGCTGCTTTATAACCGCGTGTAAGAAGGTGACAATATTTAAGAAGACCGCCACCTCGTATCTCTTCAGGTCTTCTCGTATCAATTAATTTCTCATTCAAATGTTGTAAAGCCTAAAAAATTTACAAAAAATCAATTAATGAAATAACAATCAAAATTTTTATATTATTTTTTCTATCAAAAAATTTTATTGTTTCTTCTCTTTTCCATTAAAAAATTATTAAAATTTTTTCTTTTCCAATATATTTTTAAATATTTTATTTTTTCATGAGTTTTTTCTTGTGATTTAATATTGCATTAATATAATTTTTTTCTTCTACACTTTTCATTCATTTGTTGGCTATGGCGACAAAACTCTTAGAGATGGTTATTTGTAAATAGAAGTACAAGTAACACCGCTAAGGTTTTCTCAAGGATATAAGCTCTATATAAGGACAACAAATGTCATGGCTAAAACTATAAAAATCTCTGGCAATTCAGTTGGAGAACGAATCGTGGGTGTTACGTTTAAGATTTATGCGAATAATATTCGAAAAACTGCAATATTCGAGAAAACGTGATTAAAACGTGATTCCAAACCTTGTTTATATCACCAAACATGCTTTCAACGGCAATAATTGGCTTTGGATGGTCAGGCCTATCTAAGAGTACATCAAGAGTTATTTGGAAACTATCAACACTGAATTCGAATTGTCGGCGCATCCTATCCACAAATTTCAATTCTATACATCGACCAAAATCATTGTGCAATGAGAAGAGTGACCAACGATCGTCTTCAGTTACTTTTACCATTTTTCGGATATAAATATCTTTTAGTGTTTCAGCCGAAATCCTTTCCTTATTCGTCGATTCGGGCATCAATTGCACAAGTGCTTGAAAAACTGCTTCACGAACCTATAAAATCGATAAAATATTTAATTTTTTAATTTTTTTACTAATAAATATTTTTAAAAAATTTCAGCATTATCCTCCATTACAATTCCTTCTCAGCTATTCCCCTCGGTGAGGAAGAAGAAGCGAGAAATTAACTTCTTAGAAAGCCTAATAGCAAACATTAAAACCGAATATTAACAGAAGGAATCTCATAGGAAGTTGATTATTTTTTATAAATTTCGGAAATAACTTTCGCTATTGTCATCAACTTTTTAAAATCTTTTTTATTTTAAAATAATTAAATTCTTTTAATGGAGGATAATTAATTGAATGAAAATTCATTCAAGGAAAATTTTTGGAAAATTTTATTTGCTAACTTTTTCAAAGCTCTCTTCACTATCGAAGCTCATTGGAAATATTAAATCGAGATCAGAATAAGCGAATTCTTCGCTAGCAACGACGAATGATGCCGCGCCACCATTCATTTTAACATGCTTCGGTGCGATGTCAGCTGCACGCAGACAATCCCGAACACGTACAATTAAATCATGTAAACGTACGCTAAGTGTTGGAAAATTACCCCTTCCATGAATTTCCACTTGTTCGTTTAATACAGATCGCAATCGTTTCACCTAAAAAAAAATTGCACATTATTAGAAATTGACAAAATAAATCTCAATGAATTTTAACTTAAATGTTGTATTACATGTTTTTCCTCATAAAAAAAAGGAGAGAAAACTTCGATTTACGGGATGAAAAGATTTCGCTTCGGCAGTAAAGGATGAACATTCATTTCAAATTGGGAAACCTATTTGAATCTTTTTGCTCAACTATTATTGTTATCATAAATTATTATCAAGCTAAGACATTAATATAAATAGAAATTATCTGTTGACGATTTATTTAATTAAAACAACGCGGACTGCTTCGATAAGATAATTATTTATGCAAAACTCATTGCGTGCGCGACAAAATGTTCGATTTATGTATTATTATTATTATGTTTGTTATGAAACAAAATAAAAGAAATATTTCTTCTTGCTATACAACAAATAAGAAATGATATAATTTAAAGATGAATTTAAAATTTTCGGCATCAAAAACATCTGAAAGAATTCTTATCACAAGAAGGTAGGCTAGCCGAGTGATAACTGATCGTCTAAAGAGTAGAGAACGCTGGTGAACCAGGAATGGTGAACTCTAATGACTTATTTGCTTTTAGTAGGGCGTATATCACAACGTACATCATGAAATGCGAAGATAAATTATGGACATTTATTAATTTATCCAGGTTGTTAACTAATAAACATAATTGTTGTTGGAACTCAAGTAAATTACAAATGGATATGTTCGAATATTTCCAGGTTTGAATTCGAATATTTCCAGGTTTTAATTAGAAAATTTGGGACAGAACCGCGGCAAAATCAAAAATTCATATAAGAAGATTATGAAGGGTTTTTCTATTGGTGTTTCTATTAGTATTAATGATTTTTACCACGAAAAATAATTTCTGATTTTCGATCGCTACTAAGCTAAAGTAAAATAACAATAATTGATAATAAATATTTTAAAGCTCTAGCAGTACGAAAAATTAGATTTTAAAATATTGTGCATGCTCAAGATTTTGATGATATTTTTCCTTTCCAATAAAAAATGAGAAAAATAAAATTTGAGAGAAAATGGAAAATCTGCATTTTTCTATATCTCTATATATTCACACAATTATTATTGAAAACATTCCATAATTTTTCCAAACTTTTCAAAATTTTTCTTATTGGGTTATTTAGATGAAAGATTTTTATATCTCAATATGACATGAAGAAAATAAAATTTCAGGAAAAAAATACCAAAAAATCTATCAAAAGATATCGGATGATTTATTATTATTTCTTGCATTATAATTTATATTATATAAATTTGCTTTCTCTGCGTTAATAAATTAAAATAAAAATATAAAAAATAATCGATAATTATATAATTATTACTGTTAAAATTATATTATGAAGGAAAGAAGTGCATAAGGACGGTATCAACGATGGAATCAACGAATATCCAACACTTTTTTAAAGTTTATCATTTCCACGAACTTCAATTCCGAATCAAAATATTTACAGACGAATCGCAATTATTTCACATTATAAAAAGCAAACAATGCAAATACTAAGCAATTAATTCAATTAAATGAATAGATTTTCAAACATTTTCAAATATTTCTTAATTTAGAAGCAACAATGTTCTAATTTAATTTCGACTTTAAACGAAAACAAAAATTACATCGCAATCGCAATTAATTATCGTATAAAAAATTGATTTTTAATGGAAAAAACCTTTAATTAAAAATTCAGATTACCTAAATGAAAAAAAAAAGATAGGTAAAATACCTGGGCGAGACTAAGTTCTGTCGAACTGGACAACGAATAAATCTGCGATGTGCCTTCAAAATTCATCTTTGAACTGCTATTAACGCTAGTTGACGGGTTGCTCTGAAAAACAAGTCAATGAAACAGCTTACGGGCAACACATGATTCGAAATTAATCAAGCTTGTTGATTCAATTTTATGCATCACAACTGGCTAATAGTACAAAGAAATAAAATCTCAATGTGAAATTAAAGAATTCCAAAGTTCTAAAAAGTTCATTATCATCATCACATTTTAAAGATTATCATTTTAAACAATTTTTGCGACTAGAAGAATAGATCCAAGCACTATTCTATTGATCGCTTAATGGTCCTAATTGAACAAAGATATTGTTAAAAACTCGGGTTTATGCAAGGAAAACCTATAATAACCTATAAAAGAACTTCAACCTTGCATAAGCGAGCCTAACTAGAAATGATGAGTGAATTACCAACTAACTTAATGCTAAATATCAAAAAAAATTTTGAGAAAAATGCTATAGTCAGTAGAAAAATGAGCCAATTGCCTACGAATTTTATAAATTATCTGACTAATGCTACAAAAATTCTTTATAGGATATTGTAGATAATAGATAACGATGACCATCCGGAAAAATTCAATAAATGCTAAGCGATAAATCTTGTAAATCTCGTCAGATCAAATCTTTACATATAACAAATGCCATTCTAACGGCTTAAATATTATTTATAAATGTAAATATCCAGAAAATGAATGATAACGATGATGAAAAGTGTGGAATGAGTTTTTTTTTCCAAATTTCTCATCATAAATCTTTCTAAATAAATAAATAATTATTGCTAAAGTTTATTTTAAAAGATTACATTGCCACAATTCTTTTAATTGCTTTTTGTGATATAAGCAATAATTATAAAATTTTCTTTTTAAAAAAACCGCATAAATGATCAGAAAATGAATGAATCTTCGAAAATGTTTTCCAGCAAAATGAAAAAAGAATTTTAAATTGTTTGAAAAGTTATTCGAAAAAAATTGAAAAATTGTTAAAATTGTTTTAACAACCAACCAAAAATTGTTAAAATTTAACATTTTGAAAGAGAAAAAAAATTTTTTCGTAATGAACGAAAAGAAAAAGAGGATTAATGAAATTTTTCATTCGTTTTTAACGACTGAAATTTTAGTTTCAGTTTTAAAAAAAATTATTTTATTATTTTTACACTTAATTTAATATATTTTTATTTTAAAATTTATTTATAATTAAAATTTTATTTAATAGATTTTAGTTTAAACAACGATATTTCGAGTGATTAATAAACCCATTCGAACAAAACATTAAACTTTTAGTAATAATGAGATTGAACTATGATTTATAATTAACAGTTAATGCGAATAACGAAATTTGAAATTCTGGTCAGAAACTGCAAAATAGACATTTACAGCAAACTGTAAATTGTAAATCTCCTAAGTATATGCAAAAATGAATATTCGGATATTACAAAAATTAAACGTTTTAGCTGAAACATATCAAAAGCAGTTCGAATATTGGGCACAAAAAATAAAGAAATATTCCGTATAAATCATGGATTAAAAAAAAAAGAGAAGAAAAATTTTCGCCATTATTTATATGATTAAAGAAAAGAAATTAATAACAAATGAATGATGATTATCACTAAATGATTGTGATAAATGCAACGTTCGACTGATAACACACAAAATTAATCCACTTTTTTCTTGAAATTTTTTTTTAATTTCTTCTTAAAAGAAAACTTATATCACGTCACATTGCATTCTGTATTAAAATTTTTATTTTTTATAGTAAAAAAATGAACGTCGCAAAATGTTTAATTAATTAATTAATTATAGATAGAATTTAATAAATTAGATGTTCACATACCAATTTTAGGTGTTTTTGTATTGTAATTACCGATTTACGCAAATCTACCAAAATATTAGAATTGCTGTTTTCAGCCATAAATTCAAATCCACAACAAGTCAGGATGGTGAACTTAACGATCAATGGCTAACCATAAACAAGAATTTCGTTTTGAAATTTTCTTCGTTTCTCTATTTCTGTTATCGGAACGACACTACGCTAAATGCGATTCGAGAGTTGCTCTCGTCGAATTTGTTAAAGTCTCTTATTTCAGCGAACGTTTCTCGAGGCCAGATGAAGAGAGGATTTTGTCTCAGTTCCATTCATAGCTCTGGCTCTATATCGCTTCAAAATACTTTAATTTTTAAGTCAATTGTTATCTAATCTATGAGTGTCAACCTTTCCTAATGCTCGTACTCGATAACTATTCTATTTCTCTTTGAATTTTCATGGATTATAACGACTAACTACTAGGCGGTGGAAAATCCTTTATCGTCAGCGACTCTCATATTCTACAACCTTCTGGTTTATTCTCGAATTCTCCGTTCGCTCCGCCTTAATAAATTGCCTATGGCATATTTTGACTGCCCACGCAGATACAATGATGCTTTGCAAATTAAGGGTTTATTAATTTCGTTTTTTCCTTAACAAAACCGAAAAACAAATATCCAAGAAATAAGCTAATAACTGAAATCGTCGGGTCAGACGAATTTTTACTTGGCGATACAAATATACAGTCGCTAGCATAATTGTCAGACTTTCGAGAGTCAGCTTTACTCTCACCGGGAACAAAACCTCGTCATCGAAATGTCGATCCTTCGAAACGACAGCATTAATCCACTGAACCATTCTACCGTTGAATAACGACTAAAGATTGATTTCCGCAGTTATCACGGTTTTGATAAGAAATGTTCCATTTGTTTTTTGCTTACAAATAATATCTCTGTTTTAAATAATAATTATCATTTTTGAAAAGAAAAGTCGAAAATGACAAATTTGAAAAACTAAAAAATTATGCAAAATTGGATAAAATCGCGCAACAAAAAATGCAAAAGCTATTCGAATCAAAAAATTGAAAATAGTTGCAAAATAATGAAGTGAAGAATAAAAATGAATCTTTATAAATAAAAATCTTTCAGCCTTTGCAATAATTTTGATAATTTATTGGCATATTTCATGCAAATTTATTCAAAAAAACCAGTAAAACGTAACAAAAGAGTAATTATTCATCACTTATCAAAGGCAGTCAAAGGTTGAATGATGTTACTTCAACAAAAATTAATCATGAGTTCTAATTTTTTACAGGAGTAATAGGAATAAAATAAGTGAAATTGAAATTTTGGGAATCAATCTGTACTTCTATTCCCAGTTGGCTATCTAATGAATAGATCTCATCATAATAGCTATATAGATAGCTAGAAGAAGAAGGTAATCACCATTTGAACTCAGCACAGCGTTAATTGTCCAATGTCCTTCAAAATTAGCTTTTAAAGCATAATAATTGTCAATGGCATGGCCGAGCTTTTCCATATCAAAGATCATTAA